CGGAGTCCAAGGAAGCTGCTGTCCCTGCAGTGGCCGCTGTGCCAAGCCTAGTGCACGACTTCGAGGGGCTGTTCAAACCAGGTGTGGGCACCTTTCTGGGCACTGAGGCAAGACTGCACGTTCCTGCCGTTGCCCGTCCCAAATTTTTCAAACCACGGCCTCTGCTCTTTGCACTCAAGCATAAAGGGACGCAAGAGGTGCACTGCCTGCAGCGAGAAGGCGCGCCGGTAAAGACCTCTGCATGGGCTGCACCCATCGTGCCTGTGCTGAATATCTGCGGGGATCTTAAAGTCACCATCAACCCAGTGGCAGAACTTGAACAGTACCCCTTACCCCTTATCGATGATTTGTGGGCGTCACTCTCTGCTAGAAAGAAATTCTCCAAACTGGTCCTCAGAGATGCATGTCAGCAGGTGGTCCTGGACAAAGACTCCCGGAAATGGCCTGGTCGGGCATGGTTTAGTCAAGCATGCCCATGCCTGACCAAACATCCGACTGACCATATGACAGGACAGAAAGACGGCCGAATCCGATCAGGAACGGGTCGATCACTGTGTCCTGTGAATTCACATGAGGCCGTGATCGGCTAGCGTCCGATCGGGTTCGGCCCTCTTTTCGGCACGGCCTACGACCGGTCAGACTTTTGGTTGTGCATGGGTATGGCGTGAAGGCGCCCAATGGTTTTCACCTGTTGGGTGCAATAAACAACAACAAAAAAAAAAAGTGCTTCCAGCAGGCCATGGATGGAGGCTGCCACACGGATGGTAGAAGGGCATTAGCCTCCGGGGGAAGTCTGCCGAGAAGGTTGTCATGTGGACAGACCTGTAAGTGACCAATATGGGCACCAAGAGAATAAATTGTAAACCAGTATTGTACATCTCTTGTACTATACATCCGTCATAAAAACATATATGGCATATCCTGTTACAGTATAGACCACTTACAACGTAACCGCTTATAGTGCAGGACCGGGTATAATGCGGCTTTTTTAAACCACCGGTTTGCCTCCCATAGAACTTCATGTAATTACATACCGCTTAAAATGCAGGCGCGCGAAGGGAAATACCGGTTATAGTCGGTTTCTGGAACAGCCCGCCGACTGACCAACGCAGCAAGCACGCTTCCCTGTGAGACACTAGATAACGGCGCAGCCGCAAGCGGCACTCGCAGGGCAAGACGCGGGGCAAGGAGGTTTTTCGGAGAAGCGGGGAGAAGCGAAGAGAGAGGTTTCAGTGTCCCTAGCGACGGAGGGACGCACGCACGTGTCGTTCACGTGCGTTGTTGTTGTAAGCGTTGGAGTGAAATTATGGATAGTGCGTCTCTCCGCTGCATTGGAAAACATCCACAACGACAGACCGATCGCAGGTCGAGGAGAAGTGTTCGCGCGCGCTGCATGCCGGTTGCGGGCCGGCTGCTTCTATCCGCAAACATGGCATCGGTTGTAATTGTCAACGTAGACGGCGTGGTGGAAGCTCATCGTTTCGCATAAAAGCGCTATCCTTGACTGTGAATTTTTGTTGTGTGAGCAAATAACCCAGCACGTACTAGAAGTGAAGATCCACCTACTCGTGCGGCGATGTCGTGGCGGCACTCTCAAGACGGCAGAAACGCCCGTGTCGTTGTGTTTGTTTACTTCGACTACAGTGGTGATTTCTAAGCAAGTTGTGTTTTCGAACATCGCCCGGATTTCTTATTAGGCACATTTCATGCGTGTGCTCATGTTTAAGGTATTACTGGTGCATACCGTATAAAGGATGCGAATTGTCACGCGTTTTTATCACCGGAGAAAAGTGATTAGGGTTAGCAATCCTAAACGCTCTCAACGTCTGTCCGCAACCAGCGACGCTGTTAAAGGCTGCGCCAGGCGAAAGTCACTCATTTCTTTCAAAATGTGTGACACACTTGAGAGAGAAGTGTGCTAGTCTGGTGAAATAAAGACTTTCTTCAAACTAAGCTTTATTTTTCATCTAACATAAAATAAATTCTTTTACAAAGGTAAGTTGTCTCATGGCATGTATTTTGGCCTGAAAAATTTATGTTCTGGTTATAGTGCGGTACTGCTTACAGTGCGGATTTTCGCGACTCCCGCGACATACGTTATATGCGGTCTACACTGTAAATCCCTCCCAAGTAAAAATAGAATAAAAAATAATTGGTATACAAAATAAACATAAAATAGTGAAATAAATAAATAAATAAAAAAAAATGAAAACTCAACCACAAACCTCACATAAAGTGGGGTTTGTGCGAGACATCTTCTGTGCTATTTATTATGAAATAAATAATAAATAGAGAAAAGAAAGAATAAAAATTAAATAATAGAATAAATAAAAATATAAAGAAAATATAATAAAAAAAAATAAAAAATCAACCACAAACCTTGCACAAAAAGTGGGGTTTGTGCGAGACACCTTCTGTGCTCCCTGTTCTTTTTGAGCTTGATCGAGCCTGTATATCTTTTTTTTTGTCTGAGATTGCAGCAGAGCGAAAACTTGTGTAAGCTTATGCGAAACAAGTATCTGTTAGTAGCAAGCTTCCAGGGTATTTTAAGGCGAAAGCCTTATATGTCTCATCGTTCAGTCGACCTTCAAAATCCTTGAGCAAAAACACGTCGGCAACACGAAAGGTACCAATGAAACGGTGTCAAAAGCGTGTCGTCAAAGAGCACGCCGTCTTCCGAGGTTTGTTATCACGTTTACATCGGTGCATGGGCTTTCGCCTTCCAGTCGTAGGGATAACATAGGAGACCCTGTGAATTTTAATTCTCTGTCTTATATATTAATGTGCCAATGCCATCTCATTGTTTTAGACGTCACCGACCCTCTCTCAACTGTCATGTCCAGTGGTTCATGTGTGCACTCTTCGAGACTATACAAAACAAACGGCCGACGCTGCGCGTGTGACTAAGTATATGCTGCGTCGCACTTGACCGGCGCAGCGTGTGGTTCGTGGCGTCACGTGTCCTTACGATGGGAATTAGATACAGATACATAGCGCTCCCATACTTTTACGTCGGACTTTCGGGGGGGTGTTTGTACCATTTAGCATAGATAAGAATTTTAAATTCTGGGGTTCAACATCATTGAGGTGGACCGTGTGACCAAAACATGCTCGCCAGTCGGTCAGCCATTTGAGCAGTGCGCTACTAGCTACCCCCACCTGGAATTCACGCGGCTGCTGCCCCCACCCCGAATCAGAGGTCGAGAAGTTTTATCGTGTTGCATCTAGATGAAACAGTGGCAACTAGGACGACGTTCCTCCGCCAATGTCAGACACTCACAGGATGGTGTCGAGGTTGGAGGGTGTTGTGCTTTTATGGGGAGCCCTGCAGTTGACGAGATGGAGCGTGTTGGGATCCGTAAGTGCAACTTTCACCGAGATTCTCGGCGGGACGTCCACGCTCTCGTAGTCTCGGCACGGGCCCTATTTCCGAGCCCCTGTGCCAGGTCATTTGCTGGGGTCTATACATAAATTTCAACGATTGCCTTTGTGTGGCCATTAAGTAAAGTAGCGTATAAGGTTATTCACTCGTGCTAGTTGGTGATACATTGGGAAGATTAAAAGCTCTAAAAAGACGGGGACCTGTAGGAGAAGACACACACGCCACAGAGTGCTCTGTGGTGCGTGTGTCTTCTTTTACTGGTCTTCATCTTTTTAGCGCTTTTAATCTTCATGTGTAAGGTAGGATCAGAGTTTTTGTTATATTCTTTTTTCTAGTTACTAACAGTTTTGACAAAATGTTACATAATATTCTTTTCTGGTGCCATGTATGCATGGTTAGCTTTTTTGAGCGATCAGTGTCGCTCTTGCCACCCCCTTAAATTTGCTGTCCTCCGAGCTCCTAGGTGGCTGCCTACTCGTCTTATTCATAAGTCTCCCTCGAGGGCATAGGTGAGGCAAACTATTGTCTGTTGCAAAATGAGAAATGTGGTAGACACCCTGCCTCCAGCGCTTTGTACCTTCGGTAACACTTCCACGTGTCGTGAGCATGCGTGGCCGAGCATGACTGGAAATGGAACTTCCCCCAAAAATATCATCTCGCAGCTGACTATAGTTTACCCCTTGTTTTACGGGACAATGCTGCACTAAACTCAATACTAGCATGTTTCCATCAAGGTGGAGCAATTTCTGTTTCATGACATCAGCTGTACTGGGCGAGTGTCATGTTGCCGAAAACGAACAAAGCGTGCATGCATTTATCGCGGGTGGCTTTGGCGCCGGGAGAGGACGAGTACGGAAGTGGCATTCTAATCCTTTAGCCGATATTGGTTGCGGCTGAGGCACTGCATGTTTGGCCGATCGCGGTTGCTCCGGTGGTCCTGCGATCGCGCTCCTCGCTCCCCGCCCTTTTGCCTTCGGTTGGCCATTCTCTCGGCTGCCAAAGCGCGCGCCAGAGCGAGTGGTGGCTGCTTAATGGCGTAAATGCGCCCGTGAAAGAGAACGTCATCGATACGTAAGTGCAGATGGCCTCGCCCCGGGTGTTTGGGATGCCATACGTTTGACGTCGAGATTGTGCCGTGCGTCATTGTGAAGTGGGCACATAAAAGAGGAAGTTACCGAGCAAAAAGTTGACACGCTGGTGCGACGAAGCAATTTGTGCAATGCGTCCGCGAGAACGTGTTTGGTGCTAGCTGTTCTGTGTGTGATTGGTGGCGCTTTACGCGAGACACTGGACGACGCAACATCACCAGAATTTTCAGTCAGTCACGATGCAATATCACGTTGCACCAGTTGACGCCGTCCATTTGCGTCACTTCGTGTCATCGTCCGTGCAATCTTATTTATAAATATTTTCTCTCTATACGACGACCGTGTTTTAAGCGGTGAAACCATTGGTTCAATGATCGTTTTAGAAAAGGGATACGTATAAGCAGTTTGGAAACGGCAGCAGCATTCATTGGTGACATTCATCAGTCTTAATATTGAAATGGAATGAGGAAAATTTTGCAATTCATCAGATGGAACCGCGTCATTCTCATTGAGTGCTCATCCCTGTGCAGGTGCGAGACGACACTGGGGGAGTTTTTACGCAACATCATCAAGAACCCGCAGCGGGTGGACTTTGCAGCCATGATTGTGATCCTTATTGTCCACTCCCATTCCCCAGGTTCGTATGTTGAGTACATGCTCTGAACAACGGCTCTTCTATGTTTCACTTTGAAGGGGTGCGGATGGCAACAGGTATAGTAGTTCATTTGGGTGTTTGTAAAATCAGCTTTGGTCCAGTCTAGCCAAGACAGAATACCTGTAGAGGTGGACGGCACGTCCTGAAGATGGGAAAGGGCATTCAGCCGAACTTAACCACTGGCATCCACCGTGGGCAGAACCTTGTTTGGCAAATAAACCCAAGAAAAATACATTTTTTTAAGTAACACCCCCAGAATTGCAGCATAATTCACTCTTTTCTTCCTTCGAAGTCAAGAATTCGCAAGGGTTCACATCGTTTTTTTATTTGCCTACCCCTAAATCCTTTGGGCTAGGGCAGACAAAGTCAGAACTTTTTTTTCCGTGTCTTTTTTAAGTTGTTATTTAATATGCATTAAGGCACCCTGACACGGCATTGTATAAAAAAGAGATACAGTGAATATTGTAAAAAAAGAAAATAAAGCTTTTTATCCACATTTTATGTAAATGGGACATATTAAAAAGGAAACAATTGATTATTCTCAGAAATGACATATGTTTGTGCAGAAAGTCACCAATACAACAATCAAAAAAGCAAAATCCCGGTTTGCATACCAAATACAAAACAACAATGGAAACATCAAAAAAGCTAAAAACACATCAGCACAAATGCCTCAGTCTGGAGGACAGGAAAATAAGAATTCACAGTCTGATCCATATTTTGTTTTATCTGTAATTTCTACTACATTCGGAGGCAACGGGCTCCAGTCCGATAGGACGAGCTGTAATGAGGAGTTTTGAAGTTGATCTGTACATCTGATAGGTAGGCAAATTTTACCAGGAGGCTCTCGGTCTGGGACCTTAAAGGGGCCCTCCAACAGTATTTGAGCGTCGACTTTCTTTTGCGGTTTCTACACGCTAGTGGTCCCAAAACCCAGTGGACAACGAAAGAGTTTGAAAATATTAGCGCATCATATTTTATTTTGACAACTCGGAAACACCTCCTCCGACGGTGGCGCCGCGAGGTGCCGAATGCGCGCGCAAAACGGCGCTCCCTTTCACTATACGTCACATTTTCTGGGTTTCGTGATTGGCGAGAGCCGTCCCAGGAATTTTGAAGCGAAATAAAGTATATCACACGTTAACCGTCATTATTTCTCTAACAAGTCATTTTTATAGAGCTAATAAAGTTGCAAAGTAAAGTTCAAAAAGGGCGAAAACAACGCCTTGTCGCTCATGCGCGCCTCCCAGCGGCGTCCGCGACGTACCATCGCGAGCAGACGACAAGTGATCCATGCAGACAACGCGCATCGTATTTTCACTTGTGCGCCCCCGGTCCCGGTCAACTAAAAGCAGTAAGAGGAGCCAGGGGAATCCTTATTTTCTTTTAGTGCTGTGACAGACTTTTCACTGTTCGAGTGAAGTGCAGCGACGGGACCGGTGCCCAACGGGACCGCTCACCAGTTTCTCCCTCCTACTCGCCGAGGTGGCTCCGGTGGCGGAGTTGCGGGAGACGAGTGATCCGCGGCTGTCGGAGTGGACTGAGGCAGAGACGCGGCGCTTGCGTGGAGTGTCCTCGTACGGCGCGACGCCCAGATCCGCACTAAAAATCCGATAAGCCCGGTAAATTCATCGATGATGGCAACCCGATCCCAAGGCTACGATGGTTGCAGCTAGGCCTAATGGCCGACAAGCCGACCGAGCCGACGCTTTGCTCCAATCGCCTGGGCCGACGCTTTGCTCCCATTGGCCAACCGCTTTGCTCCAATCGCTAAACTGTTTCATTTTACATCATGAAGCGTAATGTTTTGCTTATTTAAAGTTGTTTTCTGCAATATTTAGTTTTCTAATAACTCACAAAATATTGCGAATTTCTGTAATATTTTTTTTCCTCGGTGTTCCTGCTTTCATGGAGCTCCGTTTCAGCGCGAACTTCAAACCGGTCAAAAATTGTTGGTGGGCCCCTTTAATGTTGGCCCGTTTCCACGTGTCGTTCGCAGAGGAGCTGGTCCAGTACACTGCCATCAACTGGATGAAGGAGTTTGTGACATTGTCGGGCCGGACGCTCATACCACACGCGTCGGGCATCCTGGAGGCCGTGCTGCCCACACTGTCCTACGACGACAATCGACGGAGTGAGTATTCGTCAAAGAAGCCTCGCATTTTTCTCACAGACTTGAGGTCTTCGGATATGATTGCGATTTTGCACACAGTTCTGAACCAACGTGCCTTGGGAAAAGCGTGAGTATTGCAGTTGTGCAGGGACAGTAAGTTAGTGGCAGTTGGACACAACGTTCTTGGGGTTGGGGAGAGGGTTGGGGGCATTACTGCTCAGTAGTCGGTAGAATGGGACTACCAAACGGTAACACTTTTTGATATTGCAGCTAGTGAATAGATCCTAAGAAGGTGCAGGCCATACATTCATGCTTTCCTATCTTGCGTAATTATTCGGAAGTCTCTTAAGAGTATTGGGGCATCTTGACGATGCCATTCTACAAGCGGGCTGGTCAGAGTTTTATGCCCTTTCTGTGTAGATGAACTGCCCTGCCACTTCTGTATGGCTGAACGAGTGGCTGAACTCTCCGAGTTTGTTTCGGTGCCAGCACTCAAGTGTGCATGCCCTTGCTGCACCAAGGGAGTCGAGTGTGCACCAGAAGGCAATTCCATCATGCATCGTTTGGGCGATGAGCGAGAGCAGACGACGGGGGTTTGTCTGCGACATAATGTCATTCGCATCGTGCGGAATTGAAAAAAAAACATGGATTTTCGTCTAAAAATTGCGTACCGCAGTCGACAGAATTGAATGCTATCCTCAATTTCGAGCGGCTGCTAGCTCATGAAGGAAGCAGTCAACTACCTGTGCCTCATTTGCGATGGGTAAAGAAAGGCTGATGGCAGACACATAATTTCTGCAAAATCGCTTACCATTGGATAAAAGTTATCTCCAAAACACTACCCAGTTGTGGACTTGCCGAGCGGATGACATTTGTCGCAAAACTCACCCAGCAGAAACTTGTGACACATCCACTCAACGGTCGAGAAAGTTAAACATGGTGACTTTACCCGAGGCTTGGGTGATAAGTATCTTGTTTAGGAAAGCTGTCGTTCTTACCGCTCTCATCATGCATAAGATCTGATCCAGCTGTATGCTATGATCAAAAATGAAAATACCTTGAAACATATTGCTGGAGGTCTAAAGGACTAGTTTTAAAGGGATACTGAAGTGAAAGTTGAAATACACATATTATGGTCAGAAATAGGTTTAATATGATCAATGATATCCGTAAATCATAATTGCGCGTTTGTATTTTGAACGGATGGCTATATTTTTCACCTTGAAAGGCCCGATTGAGCGCGCGCTCAAAAATCGGCCATCGGAGAGCGCGATGCGTTTTGGGATATTGGGCGCATTCGTGACGTCACTTGTGCCAGACGGGAAAGGCTACGGCGTGGCTGTTGTGGTTATGAGCGTTGCCACTTGGTGGTGCGTCGACTATTTACGACCTGTGACAACCTGGCCGTTTAAGATGTGCAAGTGCTGCACGCACGCTGCACCACGCAAGTCGGCAACCACTGCACCACTGACAAAACCAGCTCTGAGGCCGGATTCTCAAAGCGAACTTACGACGAAAAAAGTGTGTACGACAAATTTGAGAGAAAACCCATATTCTCGAAACGAAATTGTCGTTAACTTTTGCGCAGGTTACGACAGAATCCTACAACAGCTCCGCAGCTGTCTTACGCACTTTTTAGGATCAAATCAACATGACCGACAGCGTCGGTCAGTACGTGGTAGCGACGACCAACGGACATTTACTTGTCTACGTGCTCTTCTCGTGCGTCCCAACTTGAACCAGCAAGAAAAAGCAAGGCGTACTTGAAACAGACCTCGACGATCAAGAACGCAGGATCCACAAACACCCGAGAAGAGCTACAACGGCTACGATTCTACCGACCAAGCGAGCTCGGCAGAATATAGTAGGCCTAGCAGCAACACCAACTCGGCGCACCGTTGCTCCGGCGGTCTTTGGCCGAGACCGTCTGTCCATGACCAGCTGGCCAGCTGAATGGAATATGCCCGCGTGACCCTTGTGGACCCTTCCCGGATGAATAGTTTGATTCCTGAACTAAATTTCAGAGGTCAATCTTTTCCCCTTTTCATCTCGATCTCCTTGTTTCCGAGACAGCGGTGACGAACGCTGTCGTCGAAAAGGGACTCTCATTGATTTTATATCCTTCTTTTGTGTGATATAGAGCTCAAATAAGCGCCATACGGATTACTTTCGAAACGCGGTATGTACACTTTGTTATTAGTATGCCATTTTATTCTGACACGACGCTACGTCACCGTCGTCGGTCCAACCTTTCTTTGCCGAGTGTCATGTCAGTGTCGAGTTGCAATCATAAAAGATTGGTCCAGAAGCGCTTACCGAAACGCGGTCTAACAGAGCGAATCCAGCTCTTCGATCAAACGCGCGTGTCCGCTCTGAGTGTGAACAGGTATTTGTGTTTCTCCTGCTGACACTCTCGTAGTTAAAACTTATCTTTTTTAACGTCGGCTCGCAGCTCGCGACTCGCAGCAACTAATACCGGCCGTGCCAGAAGTATGCTCGGGTCGTGTCGGGCAAAGAGCCGCAACGAGATCGAGCTCACTGTGGCCAACTACGCTTTGGCTTTCTCCGCCAAGGCTTTGCAAACGCGTTCAGGCCTAGGCTAATTCCGCCGGCTCACCGTATTGCCGCAGAACGGCGCTGCTCCAATGCCACAGGTGATGTCACGAGAACTTCCCACCATCCACCAGATGTGAATTTGAAATCGTTTAATTAGGTTTAAAATTAGTTCTCCTGTGTTTTACAGCGCGATATTGATATTTCCAAGGTGGTGCCTGTCCCTAGCCCATATTTATGCAGAAAGATTGGTGCTAAAATTTTGTTTCCGTACCCCTTTAAGCCGTACGGTATTGTTTCAGTGGTTCACGCTTAAAACTGATCAAGCTTCTGCACAAACAGTGTTGATAGATTTCTCTAGTGTAAGCTGTTATAAAAATTGAAAGATCACTTAACTTTTGTTTTCTAGTCTGCTTTTTGCGAGTACTTACACCATCCGTAAATATCTACACGACAGTCAAATCCTTTGATCTCATTGAAAATGTAAACCACATGTTGCAGTATCGCATTCCCACCTATCGTGTCAAACATCAGGACACCTGTTTCGGTTTAAGGCCGGTACCCTAACCACAACACGGATGGCGACAGTGTCGGGCCGCACTTTGTGCTTTCGACAAGTTCGTTTGGGACTGGTTCTCCGTGCTGCACTCCGCGAGTATGATGCATTCTGGGAGAGAACGCGCACACTGTCATTGCTTGCGAAACGAACTCGCCGTCGGGCGAACTGGAGATTGCTTTCTTCCTTGTTTTTTCGCAAGTCAGCCTGGGTAAGCGGATGTCCCGCCTTGGCCAAATGGCTGCTCTACGGTGCACGCAAACGTCTCCACATTTCTTCACGATCTAGGCTCCCACTGTCTTTGTGCCACCAATATGATTTCTACAATTTGTTACATTTCTGTCGGGCAGCCATCCCCATTTAGCCATGCCGCTTTCCCCCCGACCCTACGACTTTGCTTGACGCAGTCCTCGCTGTATTGAGAGTGGCCGCATCGTTGGAGACTTCATCGTTACAAGAGCTGTGGTCACTGAGATAACGATAACTGCGTGTCTTTCGAACACCCCACCTCCTGCACGTGCGTCACACCTTTCCCCGTTCTTTAACCGCACGCCCGCGTTCGAGGAGCACGACATGTAGAAGTGTCGTCTCAGGTAAAAGGAAGGTAAAAGGCTCGCACCAGAGGTTGGACAAGTGAGGCCCCTTTCTGTTTTTTTTTACCTTGTCAGTGACCGTATGGGGTGCCTCCCAAAAACTCTGCAGAGTTTTTTTTTCACCCCAAAAATATACCGTATTTACTCGCAGAATGAACACACTTTTTTTTCCGAAAAATCAATGCAAAGTTGGGGGGGGGGGGGGGGGGGCGTTCATTACGCGAAGTAAAATTTTTGCGTCCTTATTTACTCGCATAATGAACAGACCTTTTATCCTGAAAAATCAAAGTAACTTCTTATCTCTTTGCGCGCGGCGCCCGACCCCGTAACCAAACTAAGCTGTGCAAAAAAAAACAAAAAAACCTCTTTGTTTTTTTTTCTTAGTTCCTTGTTTTTTTTTTTGTTTTTTTTTTCCGCCTTTTGCAAGCTGTTTTATTTGCTTAGGCGTTGCTTAGGCGAGGGCTCTCCGCTTATCTTTCTTATCGCCTTGGACGCGACGCACGACCCCCCGTAACCAAACTGCGCTGTGCAAAAAAAGGAAAAAAAGCTCCTTTTTTTTTTTTTTTTTTCCTCAGTTCCGTGGTTTTTTTTTCTTTTTGCCGCCTTTCGCAAGCTGTTTCGTTCGCGTAGAGGGCTTCTCCGCTACTCTCTCTTATCTCCTCGCGCGCGGCGCGCGACCCCCCCCCCCCCCCCCCTTTCCCGTAACCAAACCTGCGCTGTGCAAAAAAAAAAAAAAAAAAAAAAACACTTTTTTTTTTTTTTTTTTGGTTTTCTTTTGCCGCCTTTTGCAAGCTGTTTCGTTCGCTTAGAGCGCTTCTCCGCTTGCGCGCGGCGGTGCGCGAACCAAAGTCCCAAACTGCGCTGTGCAAAAAAAAAAAAAAAAAAAGCTTTCTTTTATGTTTCTTTTTTCTTGCTTCCCTTGGATCTTTGCGAATTTTTTTAAATGCAAGGCGTTTTGTTCGCCCACGCTGCCCATGCATTCGCGACCTCGCTGCATCAAGATAAAAAAGTGCTTTCATTTCGCGCGCGTGGGGGGGGGGGGGGGGGTTCAAAATTTTGACGTCTGAGTTGGAGGTGCGTTTATTACGCGAGTGAAAAAAAAAGTTGAAATTTAGAGAGCCGACTTAGGGGTTTGCGTTCATTACGCGAGTGCGTTCATTGTGCGAGTAAATACGGTATGATGTGTCGCATAACGCCCATTTTCCACTCAAATGTAGCGGTTGCGGGTTGAACCAGATGCCAAAGTTTTAGAACTAACCATCATCTTATTCGAAAGTTATAAGTGATTTTTGGAAATTTTTAATAGGGAACTGTCAGCT